CAGCAAGGGCTATGTTAGCAGAAAAGGCACCTGTAAATCCTATATGCTGTGTAATTGTTGTCTCAGGGCAGCGGGGTCCTGAGCAGAAAGTGCCACGTGCGCCGGAATGTCAAATGACTGGTTTTTCACCACCTCTGATGTCCCAAATCATCTCACAGGACCACATACAAAACTCATGGAAATACTCCTGAGCAAGTATCTTTATACTTTAAACTGTTGCCAAGATGTCTCTGTTCTACTAAGCCACCTGAGGAAGTATGATTTAGTCACTATGAAGTAATTTTAAAATTTAACTTCTTTAAAGATTACTCTTAAAGAATGGTTCTCTGTAATCCAGGCAGTGCATCTCAAATGGGCTGCACAAGGCTTTTTGCTTAGTCTAGTTCCATTAAATATTTTCCCCATGATTTAGATCATGAAGTAAGGAGCTTAGTCATAAAACTTCCATTCAACACCAAGCTTGGTGAGAATAAGCACCAGAAATACTCTGAAAAGAGATCCAGGGCAAGCTGCAGAAATCGTCTGAAATCATCAAAATATAGTTCTGTGAATACAAGTCCAAAGAACTAAGTGTATGAAAGAGAAACTGATGCAATACAGGACAGCAGAATTACACCAAAGGATAAGAAAATAGTTTAGGGTTAAAATGTACGACAAACTAAATAAAAACCCACATGAAAATGCTGAGAAAGATCTCATCCACTGACATAATTAACAAAGCTGGATGTAACCAGTAATCAAACTGCCACCTAAAACAGACGTCCAGCTGTTGAGACACCTAACAGCAACTTAGAAAGTGTTCAGCAGAGAGAAACAGACAGCAAGAGAATTAGAAAAATGTGACCTACCAAGAAAGCTTAAAGGAATCAGTTTTCTTTAACTTCAAAAAGAAGGGAATGGTGACATAACACCACGTCAAACACAGAAAGGTTTGTTGTTGGTTTTTTTTTTTATAAAGAGGTTGTCATTATCTATTCTCCCCTGTCTTTGGTAATAGTGACATGAATATATCAGGTTTATTTGCAGCAAAGCTGGATATTACATAAGCTTTCAGCTAGCACAGCATCACACTAGAACGGCTTTCCTAGCGAAGCTGGGAAATCTCTTACCACATCCAATACCCAGTACACAGGATTCAACACCAGCACATGGCAATGGACTAGTTACCTATTCATATCACTTCCAAACCTGTATTTCTGATTTCCAAACATGCTGTACTACCCTCAGAAGCTAAGGATAATCAAGTATTACTGATTCCAAACAGTCATTAAATTGAGAAATTGAGAGAAAGCCTTGGAAAAACCTTCTTTCCCTCCTTTCTCAAAAGGGGGCTGTAGGGATCACTCTAAATCTGAGATGTTTTTGATCCATCAACAGATTATAGCTCTGCTCCAGCAGCAAGCCCTTCAGAAGGTCCCTGTCACACATCTGAAGACACTTGGGTACAGAACAGCCCCTTCCCCGGGGTCCTAGCAGAGCAGGGATGATGGCAGAGTGCTTGCTCAATCCCGCTGCTATGCACCGTCCACTAACCTTCACTGACCTTATTCCCTGCTACTGCTGCTCCAGTAACCGGTGCTGCTCACAGGCAGGTGAAATACCTGCCCTGACCCACTCGTTCTGTGCCAATTAAGAGGTTTTGAAGCAAGGATTTTGGAAAGCTGTACCTGTGCTGTGTCACACACACACCATACTAGCAAAAGGCAGTGGTGACAGCAATGAGGCAGGACAAAGCCAGCAGTGCCAGCCCTCAGCCCAAAACCTCCCATCCTGTCTGCACACACCCTGCTGGGAAGGGCAAGGGGATACTTCTGACTCAGCCAAAGAAGCGGCCTTCTTGTCAACGGGGGTCAAAGTATGCAGGAGCAGCTCCCTGGGGAAAGTGCGCCCAGTGCGTGAGGTGGCCATCATCAAGGACTGGGAGCCACTGAGCCCGGGGAGTCAGTGTGGGCTAATCTTTATATCCTCTTACGTTAACGGTTTTTGCAAGCAATATCAAATCCTAGGAAAGGGCAAGGCTTAGACTTTATACCAAGGGGGAACAGCAACTCTTAAAGTTGGTTGTGGAAACTGCCTACTGAGACAGATCCCCGCTGCGTCAGCCCACTATTTCTACATAGCAGAGTCCCCGCTTACCACATCAAAGCTCTGCACTGCAGTATCAGGACACTTATCAGATAAGTCAGAGACGACCAGAAGTCATGGCAATCTAAACGCCTTGTGAATGTGCTCTGGCATTGTTGCCTTACTGAGGTTTTACAAAAGTCCTGTCTGGACCTCAGGCTAGAGTCTGATTACGACATCGCACATACCTCTGTGGCAATTTTAGGAAACAGCAAAACAACATCATTCAATGAAGATGCAGCAGGCTAGACTGATTGTGTTCTCACAATCTCTTTACAGCAACTGATCACCATTTAGTTACTCTACTACTGCAAGGCGAAGGAAACCAACAACCTTAAACTCATGTCAAAAAAGTTAATTTTTCCTTGAAACGTATGCCTTGATTAAAGAAAAAAAAAAACCACCACAGCCACCCCAAACTTTGTATTACATTCATCCCCGAACCTTGATACTTTACAGCAGAATCCTTGCTCCCCGGACTGCCCTTTGCCGATTCACTACTAGTACAGGCATTGCGAACAAATGGAGAATCAGACCTCGGTCTCTTTGGTAGCTAACCAACCTCCACTTGATCAAGGCATACGGGCTGACCGCACGGCTCTTTCCCGACACCTGACTGCAGAGAAACCATTGCCCAAGAAAGAGGGAAGAACAGTATAAAACGAAGGAAGGAAACCCCTTACCCCTTACTTGCGGAGCAGAGCTGGACGCGGGCTCTGCGGGAAGGCCGAGAGCGTCGGCTGGCAGCCACCTCCGGCGGCGGGAGCCTGCGGGCTGCGGCCGCACCACGGAGGGGACAAAGTCTGGGCTGTAAAAGGGCCGCTGCCGAGCCTCCCGCCGGCGGGACGAGACCCGG